TTTGAGACGGAGTTTCGCTCTTGCTACCCAGGCTGGAGTGCAATGGCGCGATCTCGGCTCACCGCAACCTCCATCTCCTGGGTTCAGGCAATTCTCCTGCCTCAGCCTCCTGAGTCGCTGGGATTACAGGCACACGCCACCATGCCCAGCTAATTTTTTGTATTTTTAGTAGAGACGGGGTTTCACCATGTTGACCAGGATGGTCTCGATCTCTTGACCTCGTGATCCACCCGCCTCGGCCTCCCAAAGTGCTGGGATTACAGGCTTGAGCCACCGCGCCCGGCCCTTTTTTTTTTTTGTTTTTTTTTTAAACGCTTTTTAAGCCGGGTGTGGTGGCTCATGCCTGTAATCCCAGCACTTTGAGAGGCTGAGGCAGGTGGATCACCTGAAGTCAGGAGTTCGAGACCAGCCTGACCAACATGGAGAAACCCCATCTCTTAGTACTAAAAATACAAAATCAGCTGGGCATGGTGGCGCATGCCTGTAATCCCAGCTACTTGGGAGGCTGAGGCAGGGGAATCACTTGAACCCGGAAGGTAGAGGTTGCAGTGAGCCAAAAGCATGCCATTGCACTCCAGCCTGGGCAACAAGAGTGAAACTCCACCTCAAAACAAAAAAAAAAATTGTTTTTTAAATTATGAAGGTAAGGCTGCACACAGTAACTGACGCCTGTGGGAGGCTGAGGCAGCGGATCACCTGAGATCAGGAGTTTGAGACCAGCCTGGCTAACATGGCAAAACCTCATTTCTACTAAAAATACAAAAATTAGCCAGACATGGTGGTGCAGGCCTGTAATCCCAGCTACTTGGGAGGCTGAGGCAGGAGAAGTGCTTGGACCCATGAGGCGGAGGTTGGCAGGGAGCCAAGATCATGCTGCTGCACTCCAGCCTGGGCAACAGAGCCAGACTCCATCTCAAAAAAAAAAAGTAATATGGGCTGGCAGAGGCCAGGAGAGTAAAACATAAAGCCTCCGTCCACTTTCCCGACAGTTGGGTGTGTCTCCACACAGATTAAAGTTCACATTTTAAAAGGGTGGATGGGACAGCGGTGTTCTTTTTGCCCGACGTCTGCTGGATGTCATACCTTGTACACGTAATGTCCCAACTCTACTTGCAGACCGACTGTGCTGCTTTCCAGAGCCATCGTCCCCTTTACTCTGGTGGCCAGGGGTCAGGGCACCGTGTGGCACTCCCCAGGCAGGTGGCCCCCGAGAGCTGAGCACTGTTGCCCACCTGTGTCTGGTCTCTAGGGACAGCCCCATGCTCACCTTCTCGACTTGCTCTTCGATGCTCGCTGGTTTGTTCTCTTCTGCCTTGTTCCAGCTTCCTCTGCCTGCCAATATCAGTGAAAAGGGTCTTTGGTGACAGTGGGTTCATAGGTCCTGAAAATTTTTGTAAATACTGAAAAGGGCAAATAATAACATATTTAGTTAGCCACCACCCAGATATATACTTGAGATGAAGAAGGAGTATAGAAAAGCTGTGGTTTATATTTTCAGCCCTTTTCTGTACTTGGACATTTTTTTTACAGTGAGCTGCGTTTACCTTTTGAGTTACACAAGCGATTTTGAATATCGTATGAGTATTTGAAGAGGCAAACCATGACGAGCTCCGTGGCATGATGAGTCTTTGTGAGATGTATGACTGCATAGTCTGTTTTTCTTTAAATCTCTCTGAGGTTCTGGATTTTTTTTTTTTTTTTTTTTTTTTTTTTGAGACGGAGTTTCGCTCTTGTTACCCAGGCTAGAGTGCAATGGCACGATCTCGGCTCACCGCAACCTCCGCCTCCCGGGTTCAGGCAATTCTCCTGCCCCAGCCTCCTGAGTAGCTGGGATTACAGGCATGCGCCACCATGCCCAGCTAATTTTTGTATTTTTAGTAGAGACGGGGTTTCACCATGCTGACCAGGATGGTCTCGATCTCTTGACCTCGTGATCCACCCGCCTCGGCCTCCCAAAGTGCTGGGATTCCAGGCGTGAGCCACTATGCTCAGCCGGTTCTGGATTTTTGAATACCCTATAGACTAACATTTCCCAGCCTCTTTTGACTTAGGTGTGATTTTTTTATTTTTTTTTTTACCTCTCCCGTCATGTGTGATCTCTTAAAACGCTTTTAGAAATTTTTTGTTTGTTTGTTTGAGACAGTGTTTCACGCTTGTTGCCCAGGCTGGAGTGCAATGGTGTGATCTCGGCTCACTGCAACCTCTGCCTCTTGGGTTCAAGTGATTCTCCTGCCTCAGCCTCCCGAGTAGTTGGGATTACAGGCATGCGCCACCACACCCAGCTAATTTTTGTATTTTAGCTGGTGAGACGGGGTTTCACCATGTTGGTCAGGCTGGTCTTGAACTCCTGACCTCAGGTGATCTCCCCAACATTGGCCTCCCAAAATGCTGGGATTACAGACATGAGCCACTGTGCCCGGCCTAGAAATTTTAAAAATTACTTTGTCATTTCTGCATTCCCAGAGAAGCAATTTTACTTTCTTTCATGTTTAATTTGGATTGGTACTGTTATTATGTTGTATTAAGTTGGTTTTGATTCAAGCTTAAGTGTTTATGATGTTTAAGGTTAAAATTTTAAATGATGTCAAAGCTAACTGCATGTTAACCTGTTGAAAAAGTTCTTTAAAACCACTTAGATACTGTATGAGATACTTGGTTTTAAACAACGTATGCATGTTGTCTATTCAAAAAAGTACATTTTTAAAAAATGATTCACTCACTAATTGACTTAAACACTTAGGTGCCTTCTATTCTGTGCTGAAAAGTCGAGGTTTCCTTTACTAACCCTGATGTTCTGTTGAAAATGAAGGTTTGTGATGATTATTCGTGAGCAAAGTGTTAAAGCCCATTTAAGTTCCAGAAATATCTTGAAATGCTCTGTGAGAGTTTTGATAAGAGAAATGCAGATTTAGGGAGGAGGCCAAGGGCATCCTGCGTGCACCTGCTGCCTCCCGATGGTCGTTGAGGCTCCTCACTGACGTCTGTTTCAGCCCGAGCGTAGTTACATCCAGTTGCACCTAGAGGAGCCTGGGCCGGGGCTGGGAGCAAGGCTGTGGGGCTTTTCTGGTTTAAGGGAAAGTTAATACTCAGACCGTTGGTGATGCGTGAACTCTCTACAAAGGGACTTTGAAACAGGCTGTTTCCTCCGACCAAGGTGTCCCGGGTGCCTGGCAGCCTCTGGGGAACTGCTGTGTCTGGGCAGGTGCCGCCGCCTGGCTCGGCCTCTCTGGGCTCGTCCTGCCCACCCTTTCAGTACCCACGAGTGGCCAGGCCAGGCCAGGCCTGGGTAAACATGGCCACTGTCCCCCACCCCCACCCCCGCTGCTGCCCTTATGCAGTTAGGCTCTTGTGGACCGTTTCTGATCTCACTTTTGTTTCCATAGGGAACTGTACCTGGGGAATGAATTGTAGGTTTATACACCCTGGAGTGAACGACAAGGGGAACTACTCCCTAATCACCAAAGCCGACCCCTTCCCGCCCAACGGTGCCCCGCCTCTCGGACCTCACCCGCTGATGCCCGCCAACCCTTGGGTGCGTGATGCCTCTTCTTTCATTGTGAGCACATCAGCCAGCTGAGCTTCTGTCTGAATCTCAAGCTTGAGACAAGTCTCTGTGCCTTGTGGAAAAGCCTCAGCACAGGCTCAGCCCCGTTCAGATGCTTCTATGGTCCCAAGTGGAAGCAGGCCTCAGCTTTCCGGGGACGGGTGAGGCTTGCTGGAAGGAGAGTGCCCACTCACAGCTCTGTGGTGTTGATGTTTGTACTGTCTGGTTTCTCTGTACACTTGAAAGTTTTACTTTCTCACCTTCTCCCTTCTCATTTTTCAATAGGGTGGGCCAGTAGTTGATGAAATTTTGCCTCCACCCCCTCCAGAGCCCCCAACAGAGAGTGCCTGGGAACGAGGACTCCGGCATGCAAAGGAGGTAACAGAGTTCAGAAAACCTGACAAGAAAAAGACTTACAAGAGTGGTCCTTGCACAAAACTAGTGTTTCCTGGGTCTAGAGCAGCCACGGGAGGCTCAGGAAAGCCTCTGAAGTTCAGGGGCTGTTTCTGTCGTTTGCTTTGGGTCTTTTGGGTTTTTTTTGCCTGTTTGTTTTTGAGACGGAGTATTGCTCTTATTGCCCAGGCTGGAGTACAATGGCCCAGTCTCAGCTCACTGCAGCCTCCACCTCCCAGGTTCATGCGATTCTCTCCTGCCTCAGCCTCCCAAGTAGCTGGGATTACAGGTGTGCACCACCAGGCCTGGAAGGATAGAAAGTTTTGTCCGCCTCAGAGGCAGCAGCCCAGTAGGCCAGGGAGTCCCGTCCAGGGCATACCCTCTGTCTTCAGGTGGCTGGATCAGCACTGCACCACACCCCGGCTGGCGCTGCCCAAGAGCACAGAGGCAGTCTGCAGCCACTCCGGGAAAGCCTGGTGAGGCTGCCCCCGCTGCCCCTGCAGGGTCCATGCCCCAGGCTCCTGAGACTCTGTCCGCTCCTTTGGAGAGAAGCTGGGGCTTTCTGGCCCCGTCACTGCACATTCCCTCCTTCTGGGCCCACTTTGGCCCCAGTATGTGAGCCTAAGCTCTGGAAGCCGGTCTCCCGGCACCCAACCCTGCGTCCTCATTTTCCTGGCCGGCCTCTCTGCTGGGAGATGACAGACAAGACGTCCTCACTTCCTCGGCATGTCACCTCCTTCTCTCTGAGACTCTGAGTGACTGGGGCCCCCTGGGTTCAGCCCCAAGGGTAGTTGAAGGAAGTGATGAGCACCTCACGTGGGCACATGGAGGCCAGGGGCAGCTATTGGTGTAGAGACGGGCACAGACTGCCCTCCTCCCCTAAAAGATGCCCGCACCGTGTCCGCCCCTCGCCGCGAGCACTGCAGCACGCAGCTCCTGCTTTTACGGGGCAGCTGCATGGGGTGGGGCAGCTCCCTCCGTGTCTCTAACAGCAGCGCCAGTATTCCGCCTCCCTGTTGACTTCTTTCTTCTTACAACGGTAGGTTTTAAAAAAAGCAACTATCCGAAAAGAACAGGAGCCTGATTTTGAAGAGAAAAGGTTTACGGTGACCATTGGCGAAGACGAACGGGAATTTGACAAAGAAAATGAAGTTTTTCGAGATTGGAATTCTCGGCTCCCGAGAGATGTCAGAGACACAGTGTAAGGAATGGCCTTGCCTGCCCCTCCCTTTCCTCCCCGGGTGTGGCTGTGCTCCCGAGAGGGCAGCCATGCGCAGGCCCCAGGGTGTGCTCCTCGGGGCCCAGCGCCTCTCGCTGGGGTCACGGAAACATTCCCAGGATCAGTCTGGCGCGGTTCTCACAGGCAGCTGATCTCAGGTTTTTGCTTCTAGGAGGGAAGCGTTACGGCTCTGAGCTCTGGGAGTTTTTGCAGCTGTCCTTGAGGCCTCAGGAGCCCCACAAGTCTGTGTTCCTGTCTTCTCTCCCCACCCCACATTACTCAGGAGCTGGGAGCACAGCAGTGCTTCTCTTCACTGGCCGTGCTGTCTTCACCGCTCCTCCTCCGAGGCGTTTAGGGCTGGTACCTTTTTTCGAGATGGAGTCTTGTTCTGTTGCCCAGGCTGGAGTGCAGTCATACGATCTCTGCTCACTGCAACCTCTGCCTCCCAGGTTCAATCGGTTCTCCTGCCTCTGCCTCCCGAGGAGCTGGGATTACAGGCGTGAGCCTCCGTGCCGGGCTCATTTATGGTTGATCTTTAAAAATCCCTTACAGAAGAAGTGCCTGGGGTTGAAGGGTAGAAGTCAGATCTTTGTGTGGCATACAAAATGCTGCTTTCCTCTGCCTGTGGATGGACGGTGAGCCTCAGGACAGAGAGCTGGATTATAATTCGGTCAAATCTGAATTGGAGCTGCATTTTGCTGAGGCTTGAGCAACCCTGTACATTCCTGGTTGCTAGCAGGGAATCATGATGACTGATTTCTGTCTGGAAGGATAATAAAAGATGCACAAAAAGGAAGGCATGCAGGGCTCGCGCTCCAGGATTCAGTCCTGTTGACTTGGCCCTGCGAGGCCCTTCTCAGTCCTTGCCGCGAGCAGATTCCCCTGGGCTTTCTGCCTGCAGAAGTTGCGGGAGGAAGCTCCAGCGGCCCCCACCTACCCCAGCAGTGACAACTCAAGATTGAAGGGATAGGTACTTAAAGACTTGGTTAAAACATGTACATTTTCTAATTAAATCGCGTGTGGAATGTCAGATCACAGTAAGGAGGGAGCATTTGAGTGAGAACTCTGTAGGATCATCAGGGGGTCTCCTGAAGCTCTGGAGGGCTTCGTTTTTGGTTAGTTTGTTTAGCTGTGGATATTGTCTTTCCTGCCTCACAGCTCCTGCGCACAGAGCACTCTGTCAATGTGTGGGGAAGGATGGATTTTAGAGCCTGGGCGTGATCCTTGACACTCTGTTCCAGTTTCCCTGGCTGCAGCAGGGACCTGAAAACTGCCTGCTTGGGAAGGGTTCAGCAGGTCTCAGGTTTTGTGCCTCTGTGTGTGTTTCGCATGTCGGTGTTGGTGGCAGAAACAGGTGTCTCCCATCCTGGCACCAGGTGACAAAAGCTGGCTCTTGGCCCCCCCAGCTTCTCTCCCAGGAGCTGGTATCTACACTGCAGGACCCCTAAATTTTAAAGCCTCAGCAGTCAGGGCTAAAAGGTTTCATTGGTGTCTGAGAGCCAGGCTTCTCCTTGTGTTTGTTTTGTTTGTTTTTATATAACGGTCTCTGTGCTTGTTACAGTTAACCTGGGGCCTTTTGTGCCAGGCCTCATCCCAGACCTGGTGAGTCTAGACCTCTGGGAACAGGATTAGGGTGCTTGTGTCACAGTGGCGAGGTGCCCTGGCTGTTTCTGATAGACACGGTGGGGAGAACTGTCAGCCAGGGTTCTGCCAGGAGGGTGGAGGCCACACCATGTGGGTGGCCATTTAATTAGAAAATGTACATGTTTTAACCAAGTCTTTAAATACTGTCACCAAGAGCGTCTAAGGGAAAGGTCAGTCCTCCAGGTGGCTGCAGAGGAAGACACAGTGAGTAGAGGAACCCAGTGCGGCTGGGCTGCCGGGACCCAGAGGGAGGGAAGGAGCTGTGCTGCAAGTGCAGGCGTCCTGGTGTGTGCCGTTGGCAGGAGTGGGTCCCCTTGTCACCTGCCTTCTCGGTCCCGCCCATGCCCACACCTTGTAGGGTGTGCAGGAGGGTGGCTCGCAGCCCAGTTAGCAGTCGGGCTCCAGGGCCGTCACGGCACAGAAGGCCAAACCAGCAGCACCCACGTTTTGGGATCCTGCGTGACAGGCTTCGCGTCCGGTGCTCCTGACCTGTTTTGGGTCATAGCAGGCCGAGGTCAGGCCCGTGTCCCTCCCGCACAGGTGAGGAGAGTGCAGCCTGGATTGATGTCTGTGACCTGTTGTGATGCCTTGACCTCGGCCACCTGTGCCCCCAGCAGTGTGTTAGAGGTCAGGTTCTTAGGCCCCACCCCAGACAGACTGAGTCTAAAGCTCCAGGGAGAGCTGGGCCAGTGGTTTGTTTTAACAAGCCCTCTCCTGCATAGTAAAGTTTGAGAATCATTGATTTGCGGTAATTCCAGGAACACAGACCCTTGAAGATACCACATTATTTTATCCCCTAATGTTGAGGGTTTCCGTTTGTTGGTTTTTTGAGGTGAGGTCTTGCTGTGTTTGTCAGGTTGATCTCAAACTCCTGGACTCAACCGTTGCTCCCGCCCGAACCTCCTGAGTTGCTGGGAGTACAGATGTTAGCCACCTGCTGTGGAGTTTTGCAAGCACTTGTCACATAGAGGCGGCTTCACACAGGCAGGCTGGGGTGGCTGCAGGCTGGGGTGGCTGCAGGGTGGGGTGGCTGCAGGGTGGGGTGGCTGCAGGCTGGGGTGGCTGCAGGCTGGGGTGGCTGCAGGCTGGGGTGGCTGCAGGGTGGCGCTCCCTGCACTTCACTGTAGACACCCGTTCAGGCAGTCTTGGAGAAACAGCCTGTGACATGGTATACGGACAAGAACATTCCTTTTTCTCTATATCTTTTTTGGAATTAAAAAAATCAACTAACAGGATCACTTAGTAAAAATAATACTTTGCAGCCGTGCACGGTAGCTCACGCCTGTAATCCTAGCACTTCGGGAGGCCGAGGCAGGCGGATTGCCGAGCTCAGGAGTTCGAGACCAGCTTGGGCAGCACAGTGAAACCCTGTCTCTGCTAAAATACAAAAGAAATTAGCCGTGCATGGCAGCATGCACCTGTAGTCCCAGCACCTCGGGAGGCTGAGTCAGGAGAATTGCTTGAACCTGGGGAGGCAGAGGTGAACCGGGATCGCACCACTGCACTCCAGCCTGGGGGTCAGCGCAAGGCTCTATCTCTTAAGAATAGTAATAGTAATATTTGTCTAGACAGATGCATCCTGATTCACAGCTTAAAATGTTCCTTTTCTACCACCTCGGGACTTTGTTCAGGTACCATCTGACTTATAAAACCTCACATATTGGCTGGGTATAGTGGCTCATTCCTGTAATCCTAGTGTTATGGGAGGTCGAGGCGATCAGATCAATTCAGATTGACTGAGCTCAGGAGTTGGAGACCAGCCTGGGCAGCATGGCCAAACCTATCTCTACAAAATATACGAACATTAGTTGGGTGTGGTGGCACGTGCCTGTAGTTCCGGCTACTCAAGAGGCTGAGGTGGGAGAATCTCCTGAGCCCGAGAGTTGGAGGTTGCCACGACAGATGGCACCACTGCACTCCAGCCTGGACAGCAGAGAGAGACTCTTTCTCCAAAACACCCTCACACATGTAAGACATTAAGAAATGTCATCTCTGCTTAGGGCTGCCAGGAATGCTGTGCCCAGAATAGTTTACAAGTCTGATAGGGACATGTGGCCCAAAAGATACAGGGGCCCTCTAGGGTGCACAGGCTGTCACCTGTGACAAATGTGGTCATCAGTAGTGGCTCCACTGTGAACAGAGTTTCTGATCAGATCAGAGTCAGCCTGTCAGGCCACAGCCAGGGCCGTGGACTGGGCCCCTGCCAAATCCCCAAACGTCCCCAGCATAGAAAGTGGTGTGGTGCCGGTGTGATAGAGGTGGGGTGCAGGCTACTGTTCTTTGGAGTATGATGTCAGGGTGGGGTACAGAGAAGCCAGAACAGTAACTTTCAGAAAGGGAGTGGGTGAGCACTTCCTTCACCCCAGACGCTTAACTGAGAGAGTGGCAGTGGATTCCACCTGGATCTGCTGGTGCCCTGCAGGGAAGCCCCCTGAGTCAGCAGGGTGGGAGGGTTAGGCTCCCTGGAGAGTGACACAGGGAGGACTCCACATGGGTGAGCCCACAGCCCCACAGACTCTGAGGGCAGGTGGCTGTACGGGTGCCCAGGTGCCTGTACATGCCTTTGAGGACCTCGTCCCCTGCCTTCACTTTCAGTGGCTAGCATTGCAACAGGAAGGTGGGCACCAGCCAGACCACGCCGGGTTTGGGTGGTAACAAGAGGCAGCAGGGGGCTACATCGCTGCTCCCTTTTCAAGCTGCCTGGGACCCTCTTCCTCACCTTGGATCTCTGCAGTGGGCAGGGGCGCATGAGCATCTGACTCCTGCCTTTGCAACCCTCCACCTGGGTTGAGGTCTGTGCAAGTTCAACCTGAATTGTGCAAGTTGCATTTCATTGTGTAATATGGCAGAACCCTTCAGTTACAAGTGGCATTGGACGTTTTAGCACTTTTTCTAGTACCTTTTTTTTTTTTTTTTTTTGAGACGGAGTTTCGCTCTTGTTACCCACGCTGGAGTGCAATGGCGCGACCTCGGATCACCGCAACCTCCGCCTCCTGGGTTCAGGCAATTCTCCTGCCTCAGCCTCCTGAGTAGCTGGGGTTACAGGCACGCGCCACCATGCCCAGCTAATTTTTTGTATTTTTAGTAGAGACGGGGTTTCACCATGTTGACCAGGATGGTCTCGATCTCTTGACCTCGTGATCCACCCGCCTCGGCCTCCCACAGTGCTGGGATTACAGGCTTGAGCCACCGTTCTAGTACTTTTTGAACCCAGTTTCCTTGCCATTGAAATGAAATGGTTAAACAAAGTGATCTCTAAGCTCCAAACTTGTAATTCTTACACGTTCTCTATTTGCTAGACTTTTCACCTGCCATGCCTCTCCCTGGGCGGGACCGTGGGCAGAAACCGCCATCTACGCCTGGCGGGTATGTCCAGTGGTCCCCTCTCAGCCAGGAACTTGTGCCCTCCTCTCCAGCGTGGAGGAGCTCCTCTCCACGTGCCAGGGCTGAGTCTGACACTGCTCAGACCTCTGGGGACACGGGGCCTCTGGAGCGCAGCATGCTGTGAACGGGACACTGTTGATGGTTGGTGAAGCAGTGACTGCTGAAGGAGCCATGAGCCTCCCTCCTGCTGTGAGCCAGCTTTACCCAATCTTGCTTGACCACAGAACCCTTTCTTCAGAAGGCTCATTCACATTTTGGTTCCCTAAAACATAGTTTGGGAAGTGTTTGTGCAGACCATGGTACCGCTCAGTAGTATTTATTTTTAAATTGAATTAAACAAAGACCCTTCCAAATTCATTTCCAGAGTGTTTCAGGATTTCTCAAGGTGGCACTGGAGAGTCCATTGTTAGCATGGTTGCAGGTGCCGGTGGCATGCTGTGCTTGACACACTCTCTAGAACACATGCTGCTGAGCAGATGGTTCTGAGGCAGCCGCACTGAGGAAGTGCTATGTGCCTCATTCCTGACCGCTCACCTGCAACTTCCAGAAAGCCTGCAGGAAAGAGGCCTTTTCATTCCACTTAAACAGTTTCCCAAGAAAAAATCTGCTGGCACAGACCTCTTGTCAGAGAGCACACACCCTCACACTCATTTTGGGATAGGCTTTTCTGCCTTTTATTTTTTCCCTGTCAAAGGAGAAGTCTGTGTCTCAAGGAGCTCATTTTCTCCCCCTTTTTTTTTCTTTTCTTTCTTTTCTTGTGTGTGTGTGGTTTTCTGTTTTTTGTTTTTGTTTTTTTAGATGGAGTTTCACTCTTGTTGCCTAGGCTGGAATGCAGTGGCACCATTTTGGCCTCCAGCTGCTGGGCTTAAGTGACTCTCCTGCCTCAGCCTCCCAAATAGCTGAGATTGCAGGCGCCTGCCACCACACCTGGCTAATTTTTTATATTTTTAAGTAGAGACGGGGTTTCACTATGTTGGCCAGGCTGGTCTCAAACTCCTGACCTCAGGTGATCCACCCACCTTGGCCTCTCGGAGTGCTGGGATTACAGATGTGAGCCACTGCACCCAGCCTTGTTTTTTCTTTTTTTGAGACAGCATCTGGCTCTGTTGCTCACACTGGAGTCCGGCGGTGCAATCATGGCTCCCTTCATTCTCAGCCTCCTGGGTTCACACAATCCTCCTGCCTCAGCCTCCCAAGTAGCTGGGGCCACAGGCATGTGCCACCAGACCTGCGTAATTGTTGTACCTTTTGTAGAGATGGGGTCTCACATGTTATCCAGGCTTCCTCTTCGTTTTTATGTAGCATGATGTCATGTTACCACAGATCTCTACAAAAGTTTACTGATTGTTATAATGTTATTTGAGTAGTGTGCACATTAGATTGTTTGAATGCTGTCTGGCTGAAGCCCTGTCCTTGGGGAGAGCCAGTTTTAGGCCATGTGGACAGTCAAGGTAGCCTCGAGGGTGCTAGTGACCACCTGTGGCTGGAGCCACCTCAAGCCATGATGCCTCAGGTTCCCACCCAGTCTGCCCAAAGCAGAGAGTTGGCCTGGGGCTGAAACGTTCCCTGGACGGCATCCAGGGACCTTCTGTTGCTAGTGTATACTTTGTTTTCTCAACTCCGCAGGAAAGGAGATGCAGAGTCGTGGACCCCACCAGGAATTTAGAGCAGAACCCATCACCCTGTGCGCAGGCAGGAAAAGAGCCTGACCTTCCCAGCGGCTGGACAGTTGTCCCCTCCCTGTTCAGTGAAGAATCCCCTTTGCCCCTGAGATGGCACCCCCCTGGGTGTACCTGGATCCGTGTCTGGACCTCCTTCCTCCTTCCTCTGGCCTCTGGTTTTCATGTGCTGCGATGGCACTGCTTGAGTTATACAGGCTTTTTAGGATGCTTCATGTCTCAGAGGGCGTGTCTTTTCATTTCTAGGGTTTTCTTGGCTGGTCTTGGGGTCCAGTTTTTCATGTGAACTTGGGTGTCAGCTTGTCTAGCTCCGTAAAGAAGCCCAGCACATTGGGAGGCCGAGGCGGGCGGATCACAAGGTCAAGAGATCGAGACCATCCTGGCCAACATGGTGAACCCCATCTCTACTAAAAATACAAAAATTAGCTGAGCGTGGTGGCGTGCACCTGTAGTCACAGCTACTCGGGAGGCTGAGGCAGGAGAATTGCTTGAACCCGGGAGGCAGAGGTTGCAGTGAGCCGAGATTCTGCCACTGCACTCCAGCCTGGTGACAGAGTGAGACTCTGTCTCAAAAAAAAAAAAAAAAAAAAAGCTCAGTGGTGTTTTTCCTGGGATTGTGTTATGTTTCTGAGTCAGCGTAGGAAGGACTGACTTGTGGGCGATACCAGGCTGCCCTCTCCAAGTGCCAGGGGTGCCTTCTGATTCATTCACACGTGCTTGTGTCTCTCAGGATTCAGCTCTGCACATTTCTCGTGAAATGGGTTAATATTTTATTCCTAAGTATTTTTTTCTCCTTTCTTGCTATTGTAATTACAGTTTTCTCCATCTGCTTCCTAACTGGTTATAATCTGTGTCTGTGAAGACATCTGATTTCCATGTTACTTTCTTATCCTCTCCCTTTCCAAGTTCCTTTTTTCCTTGTTTGAATTGGCTTTATCAAGTCTCTGGGTTCTTCAGGTACACTATCGTATCATTTCGCAAACCCGCGGTGGCTTTGCCCCTTGTTTCATGTTCCTGTGCCTCTGGTGGGCTCCCTCCCCCTTGTTTCGTGTTCCTGTGCCTCTGGTGGGCTCCCCTTGTCCGGTCAGCTGGTGCCTCCGCACAGCAGAGGTGGTCGTGGAGCTTCCTGGGGGAGCTTCTCCTGTTTCCCCAGAGTAAGGTGCTAGTTTTCACTCTAAAGTGTGTAAATATATTTTTATCATACTAAGGTATCAATTCCTCCTAAGTATTTTTTTCAGAAAGGCTATTTTTGTCAAACATGTTTTTGTGACTCGTGAATAGAATCCTGTGACTTCAGGTCTGCTACTGCATGAGTTTGTGAACGGATTTCCTCATCATGGGCTAACCTTGCTCTCCTGGAGCAAATCCCACTGAGTCGTGGTCTGTTGCTTTCTGCCCCTAGCGTGTCGTGCGGTATTTTTGCGCCCGTGCTCCTAAGTGATGAGTTATCTTTCATTGGCTCTTTCCAGACTGGAGCCTTATGCGGACCCTTATTACGACTATGACATTGAGCGGTTCTGGCGTGGCGGCCAGTATGAGAACTTCAGGGTGCAGTATACAGAAACAGAGCCGTATCATAATTACCGAGTAAGTATGACTTAAATATCCAGCTGTCAGTTTCACGAGCTGTTCATTCAAGTGACCCCTTTTTATTTGTAGGACTTCATATGAGTTTATATAGTTAGCACAATGTACCAGTTTCAAAACCTGATTGGTTGTTACAGAGAGCGAATTCAGAGCCAGTGATTGAACTAATGGCCAACAAGGACTTCCTGAAATCTGGTTCTTGCTATGGTTTTGGGGGTTTTTGTTTTGTTTTGTTTTGTTGTTTTATTTTTGAGACAGGTTCTCATTCCGTCACCCAGGCTGCAGTGCGGTGGTGCAGTCTCGGCTCAGTGCAGCCTCTACTTCTGCGCTCAAGCAATCCTCCAACCTCAGCCTCCCAAATAGCTGGAACCAACAGCATGCACCACCATGCCCAGCTAATTTTTTGTATTTTTGTAGAGATGGGGTTCTACCATGTTGCCCAAGCTGGTCTTAAACTTCTGACTCAAGTGATACACCCACCTCGGCCTCCCAGAGTGCTGGGAACACAGACGTGAGCCACTGTGCCCAGCCTGGTTTGGTGTTTTTTGTTTGGTATGTTTTTTTTTTTTTTTGAGACAGAGTCTCACACTGTCACCTGGGCTGGAGTGTAGTGATCTTGTGATATCAGCTCACTGCATCCTCCTCCTGGGTTCAAGCGATTCTCCTGCCTCTGCCTCCCGAGTAGCTGGGATTACAGGTGTCCGCCACCACACCCGGCTGATTTTTTGTATTTGGGGTTTCACTGTGTTGACCAGGCTGGTCTCTAACTCCTGACCTTGTGATCTACTCACCTCGGCCTCCCAGAGTGCTGGGATTACAGGCATGAGCCACCACGCCCGACTCAGCCTGGTCTTTAAAATGAGATTTGCCAGTACACTTACTGGTGCCTGTTTCCACGGGCATGTGTCTCCCCTGCCTGGGCGCGTCACTCTTCTCCGCCCCTGAGTGACCCTGTTTAGGATGTGACGCCTGTTCACGTCTTCTCCAGCCAGCTTGGTAGGTGTGTTCTCAACGGGCCAGCTGTACCTCACTGCTCTCATTCAAGACTGGTCTATGTTGAGACTGCCTCCCTAGTCGATCTGCGCCTCAGAGTTTAGCATATTGATGAATTATGTGCTTCAGCCTGTGACTTCCTCATCTTGGCCATTAGGGTGATTTGACGAAGTTGCTGCAGAGAACGGTCAGTTAGAAGCAGCTGGGTAGTTCCTATGCTGTGACTGTGGGGACAGTCGTGAGCTTTCAGGGCCAGGTGCAGCTGTCTCCTCAGGAGCCCAGCAGGGTGAGCTCAGAGAGAGGGCCCCGTAGTGTCAGAAGAGTTCCCCTGCTCAATCCTCTCCTGCCCCGTCTCTCCAGAGAGCGGCTTCCTCATTGCAGGTGGGCTGCAGGGTCCTGTTCCCTACCCCTGGGCAGGGCACCCTGGAAGCCCCAGGAGTCCCTTTCCACTGGGTTCCTCTCTGCTGTGTCTAAGGGACGGGCAGCAGGGAGGCCAGGGGTGCACTCTGCATCTCCCCAGCAGTGGCCTCAAGCCTGAAACCTGTCAGGTGCACTGTGATTGGACTTTATTCAGTTTTAACTTCGAATATTAGAGCACATGAATGAATAAGAGCAGAGGAAAGTTGTTCCAGAGGCAGTGCATGCACACTGCCTGGCTGCACCCGCCCAGGACAAGCCTGCAACTCCTGTGTGTGGATGCTCCATCTCTCCAGAGAGCAGAACGCCGTCTTTCCCAATGCATGCTGGGCTGTGACTGCAGAATTGGTGCCTTGAGTTAGTCTAGAATTGGCGGTTGGAATGATTTCACTCCTAATTGATGCTCGCTCTGGTTTGGCATCTGACCCGGTTTTAACACTGTGTTTTAAGGAGAGGGTTGGGAACGAGATCCCCACCGGAGGGTGCTCCTGATCCTGCCTCCCTCTCGGCAAGGTAGACTTGCCGCCTCTGTACTCCACCACACAGAGTGGCACACTTGGCGCGCAGAGTGACATAGTGCTGTGCACCTGGCATTTTGTGTGGTCCGTGGGGTGCAGGTGTGATCTGTTACATGGACGAACCTCGTGGTGGTACAGTCAGGGCTTTCAGTGCTTCTGCCACCTGAATAACGCACTGCGTCCCCATGTGTTTGGCTTTTTAACAAAGGAAAGGGAGCGAGAGCGAGAGAGAGAGAACAGACAGCGTGAACGTGAGCGGGAGCGGGAGCGGGACCGCGAGCGGGAGCGCCGGCAGAGGGAACGCGAGCGTGAGCGGGAGCGCGAGCGCGACAAGGAGCGGCAGCGGAGGAAGGAGGAGTGGGAGCGCGAGCGCGCCAAGCGGGATGAGAAGGACCGGCAGCACCGAGGCGACCGCGACCGGGAGAAGGAGCGGGAGAAGGAAAAGGGGAAGCCCAAGCCCCGCTCCCCGCAGCCACCAAGGTAGACCCGAGTTCCTGAAGGCCAGGGGTGTTGGGGGAGGTCCGGCCTGCAGCTCTGTACCTGGTCCCCTCCGCCCCCGCTTCCCCTCTGCTGCCCACTGCTCTAGAGCCCAGGGGACCAGTGCAGTCCCATGCCCCGAGCCCATAGTCCCCAGACCCAAAGCTCTCCGACTCAGGGCCTTTCTGTAAAACTCCAAGGCGGTGACATCTGCCCTGAGCCCCTGGGACATTGTTATTCTAGGTGATCTCACTGACGTGAAAATGCATACAGTCCAAACATCAGTGTGTTTTGATTAGTTGGCACTGCCCTTCTGTGGTGTGCACATTTCATAACGTACACCTGGGCACCATGTTCCTGTCCTCAGGAGGGTTCTGAATTCCAAAGTGCGCCTGGCCCCCAGAGCTCGGGACTGGGCTCAAGTGCTGCAGGGCATCCACGTTGCCAGCCAGGGTGAGGCGCTCCAGCAGCCAGAACGGAGGGGAGCCCCAGGCCAACTGCCATTCCCTTCACAGAGTGGGTGCCTTGGGTGCAGAATGATGCCTGCTGCCAGCTGCTGGCACAGCCAAGACTCATGAGACAGGCAGGCACTGGCACTCAGGACAGCCCTTTTTTCCCCCTCAGATACACTTGACTACTAGCTGAATGGATGGGCCTCAGTGGACATTACAGAACTGGATGATATTTTGTGTGTGTTTTTACAGCTTTGTTGCAACATAATTCACGTACTATGCAACATACCCATTTAAAGCGTACAGTTCAGTGGTTTCTAGAATATTCACAGAGTTGTGCCGCCATCATCACTGTCAATTTGAGAACACTTTTGTCTCCCAGAATGAAACCTGTGGTGGCTCACACATGTACCCCTCATGGGAGGCTGAGACAAGTGGATTGCTTGAAGCCTGGAGTTTGAGACCAGCATGGGCAGCAAAGCAAAACAAGACCCCGTCTCTGTTTAAAAAACAGCTGGACGTGGTGGCATGAGCCTTTGGTCCCAGCTACTCAGGAGGCCAAGGCTGGAGGATTACCGGATCACACAGATGTTACAGCCGCCATGATCTACAGTCGTGCCACTGTACTCCAGCCTGGTTGACAGAGCAAGACCCCTTATTGAAAAAAATAACAATAATAATAAAATAATTTCTTTTTTTTTTTTTTTGGAGATAGAGTCTCACTCTGCCACCCAGGCGTCTCCTGCCTTAGCCTCCTGAGTAGCTGGGATTACAGGCGTGCACCACTACCAGGCCCTGCTAATTTTTATATTTTCAGTAGAGACGGGGTTTCACCATGTTGGTCTGGCTGGTCTTGAACTCCTGACCTCATGATCCTCCCACCTCAGCCTCCCAAAGTGTTAGGATTACAGGCGTGAGCCACTGCTCCTGGCTAGTTTAAAAAAAAAAAAAAAAAAAAAAAAACTAGGCTGGGCACCGTGGCTCATACTTGTAATCTCAGAATTTTGGAAGGCCAAGGTGGACAGATTGCTTGAGCTCAAGAGTTGGAGACCAGTCTGGCCAACATGGCCAAACCCTGTCTCTACAAAAAATACAAAAAATTAGCTGGGCATGGTGGCGTGCACCTGTGGTCCCAGCTACTCAGGAGGCTGGTATGAGAGCCCAGGAGGTTGAGGTTGCACCACTGCACTGCAGCCTGGGAGATAAGAGTGAGACTGTCTCAAAAGAAGCAGCAGCAGCCTTGTGCCTGTTAGTGGTCACTCTCCACTTTTCCCACGCTTGCCGTCTCGTAGCGGCCACAGCCTGCTTTGTGTCTCTAGGGATCCGCTCGTTCTGCATGTTTTGTAGAAACAGAAGTTCGTAATCTGTGGTCTTTTGTAACTGGCCTCCTTTACTTAGAGCATTTTCAGCATTCATCCAGGCTGCAGCACAGCCGAGTGCTTCATTCCTACGTGGACACACCGCGTGCTGTTGATCCGTTCGTCTGTTGATGGCCGTTAGGTTGTTTGCACCTTCTAGCTGTTGCGAATATGAATTTGTGTGCAAGTTTTTGTGTGACAAGTTTTTTCTTGGGCATTTGCCTTGGTGTGGAATTGCTAGATCATGTGGCCATTCTATGTTTAACTCGTTGAGAATCCCCCAGATTGTCGTGCACAGCAGCTGCACCTTTTACATTCCCACTGGCGGTGGTTAAGGGCTCCATTTCTCCACATCCGTGTCTGCGCCTGTCTTTTTGAGGATGGGTGTCTCGGCAGGTGTGGTGTCACCTGCTGAGGAGATGTACATTTCTGTGATGACGACGATAACGAGACTGTCTTTTCCTGTGCTTACGGCCATTTGTGTACCTTCTTTGGAGAAACGCCTGTTCAGATCCTTTGCTCATGTCTTACTTTGTTTTTTATTATTGAGCGGTAAGAGTTCTTTATGTATTCCAGATACAAGTCTCTTATCAGATACATGATGTGCAATTCCAATTACTGTTTTTAATTTGTTGCTTATGCTTTTGGTGTCATGTAAGATACCATTGCCTAATCCATGGTCATGAAGATTTACTGCTGTGTTTTTTCTTAAGAGTTTATCCTTTTAGCTCTTACACATAGGTCTTTGATCCAGCCTAGGTGACAGAGTGAGACCCTGTCTTGAAAAAAAAAGAGGGGTGGAGTGGGGGCGAGGATGAGAGCATGAACATGGCTGTGTCGTAGGGTCGGTTCCTGTCGGCGTCTCCATAGGGGAAATGCAAGGAGGGGATCAAGGCAGTTCCTTCCAAGGCCCGTAGACCGCAGGCACATTCTGCTTGCCTTGGCTCTCATACACCTCCACATTTCGGCCTGCACCTGCTGGTAACGCTGGACTCTGCCAGGCCTGCAGGTGTGGGCAGCTTCATGGCAGGAGCCAGCGGTGGCCACACTTAGCAGAGCCACAGTTCTCACGCTCCCCTCCAGAGACCTGGCAGCCATCAGGACCTGCGACTGTGGCTCTGGAAGGATTTGCTGTCCACCACGGGACAAAAACCAGTCCCTCGTTCTTATCGTCTTGTCCATGTGACTGGACGATGCCCTCTCTCGTGTACAGTTGTGCAAAAGTCGTAAACACTTTTCTCAGTGTCACCTCTCAGGCAGGGCTTTGCAGTCTTTTGTTTCAAGGTCATTCATGGTTGTAGCTGGGTGCTTGGCTGGTGGCAAGTGCCAATTTTGCCCGTTGGCATTCTCCAGCTCACAGTGAATTGACTTCCTTAAATGTGCTGCATTTTGTCATACTTCCCTAATGTTAGGCAAAGCCTGTTCTTCTTTTTTTTTTTTTTTTTGAGACGGAGTTTCGCTCTTGTTACCCAGGCTGGAGTGCAATGGCGCGATCTCGGCTCACCGCAACCTCCGCCTCCTGGGTTCAGGCAATTCTCCTGCCTCAGCCTCCCGAGTAGCCGGGACAACATGCACGCACCACCATGCCCAGCTAATGTTTTGTATTTTTAGTAGAGACGGGGTTTCACCATGTTGACCAGGATGGTCTCGATCTCTTGACCTCGTGATCCACCCGCCTCGGCCTCCCAAAGTGCTGGGATTACAGGCTTGAGCCACCGCGCCTGGCGCAAAGCCTGTTCTTAAAGAACATTCAGAATAAGTGAAACATTTCCGATGTTTTTAATCCTTTTACGTTACAGTAATCTTTAAGTTATTTTGAAGTTGACGTGGTCAGCCAAGCAGGGAACCTGGCCTTGGCCTTGATACTGTGCTTTGTCTTCTTCGGCCTTTCAAGCCCTTTTTGGATAGAAGCCGTTCCCCCGCAGCACACAGCATTTCCAGTGTGGACTCAGCCCAAGGCTGTGTTCCCCCCGTGCCAGGGTGAGGCCTGGCACCCCATGCACACAGCCTTAGCCGTTCCTCTGCCTGGACCGGCTACCTCCCACCTCCTCCAGGGTTTTGCTCAGATTCCTCTGCACAGGGAGGTCTGCCCATGCCCTCCTGCTTGCCAGCCTGCTTTCTTGTTGCTCATGGCCCACGGTGCCACAGCCGCAATGTTAGCATGTCCTTAGTGGTGGTCATCTGGAGCCCTAGCAGGCGGCCCTGGGGTACCCCTGTCTGCCCTGCTCCCGATGCAGTCTCCGTGTCTATCACAGAGCCCCACGCAGGCTGCTGCTCACTCACGTTTGTCAGTGAGTTTTGGATTTGGTAGCAGCCTGCATTTTCACCTGCATTTCATAATTGATTGATACAGGGTTGATAAAATTGCAGATTGATTTCTACAGACAACCAGCTTAGTCTGCTTTCCAGATTCACAAAGTGGGGGTTTTCATGCCAGCCCAGATCCTTGGTTTTATCACGGAAAGGCCGTGATGACTAGGTGGAAGGGGCACTCCGCTGTATGGCTCTGGGTTCATGAGTCAGTCAGCACATCCACTTTGGTGGCTTACGGGAACACATGGTTGGCCACAGACCCCCCTCCCCAGCCCCTAGTCACATACCCCGCTTGTTTCCAAGGAGCCAGGGGACTCTTCTCAGTCAAGTGACTGTACTTGCAACTCAGGGATGCTTTCTGTGTACAAGGATGTGCTTTTGGGGTACGTGTTAGAGGGCAGCCATGCCTAAGGTCACCGTGTTCCTCGCTGTGGCCCTCGCGTTGGTGACTCAGATTCGAGGGCAGAATCCCGCCTGCCGTGCTCTGTGTCCAGCGTGCTAGCCTCCCCAGGAGAAAGGGGTAGCTCTGCCAGCACAGCTGTCGGGCAGCAGGTAGCCATCGCCAGCCCCCAAGTCCTCGGCTTCACAGACAGAGGAGTCTTACTGTGGGGACGCGACTGGGAGGTGCTCAGGCGCTCTGGCGTGATCTGGGCTCACAGCTAGTGGTCAGGAAGCTCTGTAGTAAATGAGTTCTTCCTAAAATTAAACAGCCTCTCTCACCAAACTGAGCCTAGCCACTGTCCCACCAGTTTCTGATCTGGTTTATCTCCCCTCTGTTAAGCTCACATCCCCTTTGTTTCCTTCCTGAAGCACCAGCTTGTGCTCCTGTGGCTACCCTCAACCCCTCTCCCAGCTGCCGGCAGCAGGGCTAAAGTTCTCT